ACCCCCAGGAGCCCAGCGGAAACAGCCGAGCTCTTCCCGACTGTGTGACCATTGTTTGGCCACCGCTGAGGCGCAGGATCTCCTTCGTGGGCTGGAGACGTCAGCCAGGACGTGGCCGACCCGGGCAGGCTGGCCACCATGGGCAGGGCACGGGCCTGGGGCACGGTCCTCTCCAACCCCTCCATGTCCTTCTCCACAGAAACACGCACATTTTCCCTGTGGTCTCAAAAGAAGCCATATCTCAGATGAATGTGGAGCATTAGCAGTGACCGCCTTTGCTGCAAGATTCCTTCAGACAGGAAGCAAGGTGCCCCTTCTGCCTGGCCACTGGAGCAGTCACCCGGTCAGTGTGCTGACTCTTAGCCAGAGCTGTCCCCAGATTCCGAGATTTTCCAGGGAAGAGAGTTCACGGCCAGGCCTTTTGCTTGTTTGGGGGTCACTGTGCGTCCTCAAAGTGATGGAACTTGGTCTAGACCTCCGGTTCCAGGAGTTGCTAAGGAACGGGATCAGTGCTGATGAAGGAGCGTGCTCTTCCTGTCATTCCATCTGTTACTGCAGCACTTTCCCCGCAGGTAGCTGTCTCTCACGGCTCTTGGGGGGTGAGCACTTCTCTCTTGGCTGGTGCGTTAGCGGGGACAGTGTGTGCACGTGCTCCCAGCAGGTGGCAGTCAGGCAGGATGTGGCTCAAAAGAAGAAAAAGCTTCTTGTGACAGAAACAACAGCCTTGTCAGCGCCGGCCATGCCTGTCAGTGCTGTGCCTGCCGATGCCGTGCCTGTCAGTGCTGTGCCTGCCGATGCCGTGCCTGTCAGTGCTGTGCCTGCCGATGCCGTGCCTGTCAGTGCTGTGCCTGCCGATGCCGTGCCTGTCAGTGCTGTGCCTGCCGATGCCGTGCCTGTCAGTGCTGTGCCTGCCGATGCCGTGCCTGTCAGTGCTGTGCCTGCCGATGCCGCCGCTCCCGAGTACCTCCCTGTCACAGATGACGTCATCCTCCACCCGCTGCCATGGTCACCAGGCAATCAGTTTGGCAGATAAAAGATCAGTTGTCAAACCCAAGAAACTCATTTTCCACCCGGCAGCCAGAGTGAGCTTTTTGAAAAGCAGATCTGAGAGCATCACCCTAACCTGACCTGACCTCTCCGAAGCCTGTCCACTCGAAACACCTCCGTGCTCCCGGGCCTGTCCCTGCCCCGGTGCCCGGCACACCGAGCTGAGCATCCTGCGCCTTCTCAGGGCAGTCTGGCCACACCGGCACTGCCCGCCCTAGCCCCTCCCTGCCTCACCCAGCAAGGCCAGCGCCCACCTCCAGGCTCCCCTAGCTGGGGACCTACGTAGGTCCTCACCAAGGGCATGCCACCTCCTGGCTTTGTGATGAGTGTGGGTTTCCGGTGGTGTGTGTTGGGGAGGCCTGGGGGAGAGGGTGGCCAGGCCCGCGGGGTTTCTCTGAGGCTCTCTCTGCAATGTCCAGCAGTGCCCCGGCTCAGAGCTGGTCCTCAAGAGTGAGGGCTGAAAGCAGGAATTCGGGGCATAACCCAGACCCGCTCCGGGCTCTGGCCGTGTGGACCGTGCCCCGGGGCCACCATGTCACGTGCTGGATCCTGGCTCAGGCACCGCGAGCCCAGGGAGGGTTCAACAGCTACCACTTCCTGTGCCGATTGTCACCTCTCGCTGGGTAACGCCTGTGAAATTGGAACAGTTTGGTTCTTTGTGAAAAACAACACCACTGGCAGCGCCCTCCCCCAAAATGAAAAGCAGAGCCTGCGAGTGCG